CAAAGTCAAAAGACAAATGACAACTTGAGAAAATATTTGCAACATTTAACAAAGATAAAAGGATAATATCTCTCATATACAAAAAAAAAAAGTTCAAAATTTGGCAGATAGAAAGGCCAAAAATCTTATAGAAAAATGGGCAAAAGATATATACAGACAATTCACAAACATATATATTGGGGGGAGGCCAGCTTTTGGCAGCTGGAGTTGGACCCTGAACCTTGATGTTATCAGCACCATGCTCTAACTAACTAAGCAAACTGGCCAGCCCCACAAAAAGATATAAATTTGGTCTTCAAACTGTGAAAAGGCATTTAACTTCACTCATAATGCAATTTAAATGCAAATTAAAACTATATTGAGAGTCCACTTCTCACCTGTAAGATTAGCAAAAATCCAAAAGCTTGACAATATACTCAGGCTGCAAAGCTGAGGGAAATAAGCACTCACATATATCGCCAGTGGGAATGCAAAATGGTACAACCCTACATACTAGTAGGTATTCACACTTTGACCCAGAAATCCCATTCCTAGGAATCTACCCTGAAAATGCATCTGCAGCAATATGAAAATACATAGTGTAAGGTTATTCATTACAGTAATATGCACAATAGCAAAACACTGGACATTATCTAAATATCCATCACAGGAAATAAAAACTACGGTACATATACAAAGTGGAGGATTATGGAGCTATAAAGAAGAGTGTGACCTCTATGAACTGATATGAAGTGATTTCCAGTAGATATTAAGTCAAGAAAGCAAGTGCAAAAGAGCAAATACAGTATGTTACCATTTAGATAAGAATGGGAAATAAGAACACACACATATATTTGCTTATCTTTACAAAAAGAAGACAAACCAGCGCTATGGTCTGAATGTTTGTGTCCCCCCAGAATTCCTATGTTGAAACCTAATCCGCAATGTGATAGTATTAAGAGGTGGAGACTTTAGGAGGTGATGGGATCATAAAGGCAGAGTCCTCATGAATGGGATTAGTGACCTTATAAAAGAGACCTCAAAGGAGGTCATTTGAACCTTCTACCATGTGAGGACACAGCTAGAAGGCACCATCTACGAGGAACAGGCCAGACATTGAACTCCAACTTGATCTTGGACTTCCAAGCCCCTAAAACTGTAAGAAATAAATGCTTATAAGTCACAGCCTGAACAGTCTAACACACCAGAAAAAAATGAACTGCATTACCTACAAAGGGTAAGAATACGTAGCCGTATGAATACAGGAAGGGCTCACACTTGCCTATCTTTTTTTATAGAATGAATTTTGGAAACGTTAATGTTCTACATATTCAAAAAATATAATTAAATCAAAAAGGACAGGAGAAGGGGCCGGCCCGGTGGCGCACTGCTACAGTGCGCCACTTGGGAGCGCGGCGGCGCTCCCCGTCGAGGGTTCGGATCCCACATACAGACCGGTTCCCGCTCACTGGCTGAGCGAGGTGCGGGCGCAACACTGAGGGTTGCGATCCTGTTGCAGGTCCCGGTCTGGTACGGGCGTGACACTGAGGGTTGTGATCCGTTGCCAGACATGAAAAAAGACAAAAAGGAAAAAAAAAAAAAAAAAAGGACAGGAGAAGAAACCTAAAACTGAAAGCAAAGTGAAACAAATGAACTTGATTGTATTTCAAAGGAATACCAATAACTACACCAAAGGTAAAAAGAAAGAATCCAAAATGAACACAGTATTTAACTATATAACATCAGTCTTTGGCAGAGTAGATGGGGGAGGGAAATTGCACACAAATTCTGAACTGTTTTGAGCAGGTTTTTCTGTAGCCATGTGGGTGAAGCAATTCTTTTTTTTTTTTGTCCTTTTTGAGACCAGCCACACCGCGCTCAGCCAGTGAGCACTGTGAGCGCACCCATCATCCCTATATAGGAGCCGAACCCGCGGCGGGAGCGCTGCCGCGCTTCCCAGCGCCGCACCCTCCCGAGTGCGCCATGGGCTCGGCCCGGGTGAAGCAATTCTGAAACAATTTTAGACAATATACAGAGTTGAACAGATGAGTAAATAGGTTCACAATGTTGAGGACCACAGTTCCCACTGAGGAAAAAAGGACATATAATTATGGAATGGGGGAAGGCAAGAAAGAACCCTGAGGAGACATCTGTAAATGAAAATATTGGTGTGAACTCATGATTTCTAAAATATGTATAAACATGCATATTTGCACGTGCATATATGCACATACCTTCTTACTTCCTCACTTTGCTGAAAGGGACAAAAAGCAAAAACATCCCACCAGCAATGAGCACATCTAACATTTAGATCTTGGTCTCTAATATTATTACTCACTAAAAGAAACCAGAATCCTTGGAGAATACCAATTCTAGGGTGAAGGCAGGATAGGTACAGGATGGGCCTGGAACATTTGTTTTGCCGGAAATATGGAAGTGCTTAAAAAAAAAAAAAAAAGCTTGTAGCATATCACAAGGACGTGGGATCCACCTTGAAGGGTTTCTCCTGGCAAAATTGGGTCAATTTATGCACAAAAATAATCAGGTATATAATTAATTATAAACACTGGAAAAATAGAAGTTCATGAGTGCATAAAAATAATAAAAAGATAAATAATGAGGGAGAAGAGATGACTCTTGCTTATGGTAGAATGCTGAGCTGAATGCAAACTAGTAAGTGTTGAGAGAGTAATGCAGTTGGAAAATCAGCATTTTGCAAACATCATACCAAAGATTCAATCAGGAAACAATCTTCCATGGATGGTAAATCTAGGGGGAAATTTTAATGGATATCTGCATGATCTTAAAGTGTCTCCCCACAGATTATTAGTTGTGAGGGGGAGAAATAGTGCACAGTGGAGAAATCAGACAACAGCTTGACTGGGGGATCAAAATTAACACCATCAGTGAAGGGCACCTGAACACTGTGAATCTCCCCATGTGATATCCTGAAAAGGACACATCGCCCATGCAGCACCCCAGCTGAGAATACGTAATCTGAATCTAATCATGAAGAAACATTAGATAAACCCAAAAAGAAGAAAAGGAGTGAAAAAATGTCAATGGCATGTATAACAAAAAAAGTTGTGAAAATGTTCCGGATTAAAGCAGGACAAAAAGATAGGACAATTAAATGCAACACCTGACCCTAGACTGAATCCTGTACTGGAAGGAAAAAATATGTTATAAAGAACATTATTGGGTCACTTGACAAAACTGGAATACAGATGGTAGAGTAGTGTAGTGTTAAATTCACTGAAGTTGATATATATGTAACATCCCTATTCTTTGGATATACACAGTAAAGTATTTGGGGGTAAATAGCCAAGATATATGGAACTTACATTTTCAGAAAGAAAAAAATGTGTCTCTGTGTGTGTGTGTATGTGTGTGTGTGTGTGTGTGTAAAGACACACAACGTTAGGAGAAAGAGGAGAGAGTGTGTAAACGAGGTAAAATATTAATAGTTTAATCTGGGTAAAGACTACAGTTTTTTTGTACCATTCATATTCTTGCAATTTTTCTGTAAGTTTGACATTATTTCCAAGTAAAGGTTTTAAATTTTTTTTTTTTTTTTTAAAGATGACTGGTAAGGGGATCTTAACCCTTGGCTTGGTGTTGTCAGCACCACGCTCAGCCAGTGAGCAAACCGGCCAACCCTATATAGGATCCGAACCCATGGCCTTGGTGTTATCAGCACCACACTCTCCCGAGTGAGCCACGGGCCGGCCCTAAAGGTTTTAAATTTTTAAAACCAGTAGTGGGAAGACATTAGATTATCTTTCCATGGAGGTGATTAGAAAAACATATAACTACTTCAAACACCAAAATGATGGTAAGTCTAAAGGTAAATGTTCGATTTGATCTTAAAAGTAACTCTAGGTTCTAATTTCATACAATTTTCTGCACATATACTACTAAAACTAAACACAGTTCATCACACATGAAAAAGATAGAAAGCCTAAACACACCTACTGCTTCATATTAAAGATGTGTACTTGGGAATAATCTAAACATTTAATTATGCATGGATCATACCTAATTCCTGTTCATCATATTCGGTGCCATTTCAGGATGCTATAACATCCATTTGATCGGTGCTTAGTGAATAGTTACAGTGCGCTGTATGTCATTTTATGCAACCCTTTCAAGTCTCTGCTACTCGTGTGTGATCAGCAGACCAGCAGCTTTAACACTACCTGGGACCTTTTTAGAAAAACAGAACCTCAGACCCCAACCCAGACCTTCCTGCATCAGAGTCTGCACTTTATCAAGATCTTCAGGTGATCCATATGCACATTACATTCCAAGAAGGGCTCCTCTGAGCAACTTAACACAGGTTTATTTCCCACTAAACCTGATACACGTAGGCTGACTATCCAGAGCAGTTCTTCTCTGTGCCATGACTCACACTTCTTTCTCCCTCTCAACACATAGCCTCCCGAGTCATCAAGGCAAGAGACAGCAGGAAACATGGCACAGAACACTGTATGGCAGGCCCGGAAATGGCTTATGTAATCTGCAACCCACACTCCATGGGCAAAAACTGACTCACAGGGCTCCGATCCAACTGCAAGGAGGCTGGGAAAGGTAGTCGTCATACGTGCCCAGAGTGAGGAATAAAGTTTATTAACGGACACTGGAGTCCCTCAACGTTCTATAATAGTGGTTCTCAAAGTACGGTCTAGGAATCCTTGGGGATCCTGAGGCCCTTTCAGGGGGTCCACAAGATCCAAACTATTTTCATTAAAATACTATCACATTTTTTGCCTTTTTAATTTTCATTTTCTCATGACTATACAGTGTAGTTTTCCAGAGGCTATATGACATGATTTTGCAATATATGTAATACGGAAGCAGTTATGAGAATCCAGGGTCTTCTATTAAGCCAGACATAGAGAGATATGCAAAATTGTAGAGCAATGCATCTTTTCTCGCTAAATTTTCTTTTGTTTTAGATATAGTTTTATTAAAAACACACACAAAAAACCATTGTTAAAATGTAATAGATTTATTATGTTTATGTATTTTCAAAACTTTTCAGTTTTAATTTTTTATGCAGTAAATATCAATAGATATAACCCACATAAACAAAACCTCTTTAACATCCTCAATTACATTTCTTAAATCCCTCCTATTAAATCCATTTCAATAATTTTTAGGAGTGTAAAGGGGCTGCCTTAAATGACAGTGTATGTTAAGAACAGACAAAACCACAGGCATTAGCTTCAATTCTTTTTGTGCTGGTCAGAGGCAACCTTATGAGGAATACCACAGCTCTACAGAAGATTTTTAGCACATCTCAGAGATGGTAGTACAGGCAGAGAAGACAAATCCAAGTGCAGAAAAAAAACAGTATTCCAGTGAGAACAAATCACTGACCCCCTCCATGACAAAAGGATCTAAAATTAAAACCTGACAGCAGGTGGCCGGCTGGTCCAGAAGGTGTGTCCTCATTTGGGGAACTCAGAATCAGTTACTACAGGTAGCATACTGGACACTCTATACCAGTAGAAGCCACAGGGCTATGGCAATGGATGTCTGTACTGTTGAGTTCCAGGCACCATCCTCTCTCCCTGTCCCCATGGTAGTTCTTGAGCGTGCTGAACAAGCACCAGGCTGTCTGGAGAAGGAGAACTGACTGCCATCCACAAAGCAGGTCATCCTGTCTGATTAAGAACATCCTCTCCTGTGGCTTTCACATGGACCAAATGTTCTTTTCCCAAAGCTCCTTGCAGAAGAAAAGGAAGAAGCAAAAAAAAACAAAACAACAGGAATTATAACTCCCACAGGACTTCCCTGTCTCCACTCGGCTCTTTCCACTTTTAGGTTAAGAAGCCAATGTGAAAATTCTGCCTTTCCTGAAACTATTCATTCCAATGCCTACCATTCTTGGCATTTATTTAGAAAATTCACCTAATGTCCTCAGCCTCTCGGTTTTCAACAATCTTTTCTTAGTCCCTGTCTCAGCCACTTTCTGCCATACCCTAAACTTTGTTGTACCAATACATATATTACTTCTAAGCATAAAGTCAACCCATTCTCTGGCCATTCCTCCATTTCTTTGACCACATCAGGACCTCTAATCCATTGATTCTATCACGTTTAACTGCCCATCACCCTCTTCATGACCTCATTCCCTAGCTCATTAACCATGGTCAAGGATTTCACACTCCCCCGCCTACAACCTCAACTTCCTTTTCCTCTCTCCATCCATCATACTAACCCGGCAATCTTGGGTCAATCCAATTCTCCTAGCCAAGGAGCTGGCCACTGGGAGAGAAAAAAGCACTCCCCTGTTAACCACTCTCACTTTAAATAAATGAGCAGAAGTTTAAGGGGACCCTCAGCACTTTCCAACATTCCTACATTTCAGTGGGCGATTCACACTTCTCTCTGGCCACTGGGAGAGAAAAAAGCACTCCCCTGTTAACCACTCTCACTTTAAATAAATGAGCAGAAATTTAAGGGGACCCTCAGCACTTTCCAACATTCCTACATTTCAGTGGGCGATTCACACTTCTCTCCTGGAAGACTATTCCAAACCTTCTCTTTTCCAAGACTGAGTCACTAGCAACCACTTCCTTAGTTGTCCTTAAACCTGTCAATCACCACTGCTGTTGCCTTCTCTGCCACCTCTTCTTCTTACCCCAAGATATGAAGATATTCTCTCCTACCTCCACCCCAAGTTCAGTTCTTAGCCAAGATAGATTTCATCACCTCACCAAAGAGAGTTCCTTTATTGCCTTTTACTGCCTGACCAAATCAACCCACACTACAACTCAAATGTAGCTACTTTATTTTCTAAAACTGATCTTTTTTTTTTCTTGTTTTTTTTATTGTCCACAATTGATCTAATCTGTCTCCTGAACATGGGGCTATTTTTTCTACAGTTAATCTAATATTCCTCATGAACATGCACCCTAATAAACAGCTAGGAAACTTAAAACATATCAAATAGCATCTCAGTCTCTTCCAGTTAATATTCAGACTTTAATTCTTTACCAGGGCTGTTTTAAACGGCTGCTTTCAGGTTAAATTTTCTCCAAGGCTTTATGGGATATCCTGGAATTAAGGGGTAAGAAGACCTTATATCTGTGTGTCTCTCTGGATTCTCACTAGTCCCTACTGCAAGGAGGTGATCAGATCATGTGGCTGGACTGGTATCGTCTCATCTTTTGGGATGCCACACTGCCTCCAATCCCTGGTGTCTATGATCCTAACCTTAAGTCTATGGTCACACAGTTCTTTGTCATGCCTACTGTTCCACCAGGCCCCTAAGCCCCTCTACCTCCCTCTTAGCGGTATGAGAGCATTTTGGAATCCCCTGCTACCACAGGCCCATCTATCTAGCCACTTCCTTCTACCACTGCTGTGCTACTGGCCCCAGTGTTGGCATAGTACTAATCTCTTCTCAAGATTCCAAGTAAGAAGCAAAGCCAAAGGCCCTCTGCTGTTGACTGTCCCTCAACCCATTTAACATCCCCACCCTAAAACCCCAGAAGTTTGGCCAGACAGGAAAGACTGGAACATGTATTTCTCACAATCTGTTTTCCCTACCTCTGTCCCAATTTCTTTCCACAATCCACCATGGCTGAAAAGGAAGGATTTTCCACTTCCAAGTCATCTTCCTTCCTCCTGGGATGCACTAAGCCTCAATCTCTGCCTTAGCAATTGAATGAGATACCCTCTTTACCCTACAGGAGAAACTATCATTAGAGTTTGCCAGTGGTAGCTCTTGATATGAAAGCCGCAGGCAACTTGGAACTTTGGAAAACCAAAGACAAAGATACTTTATAATGACTAAAAATTTTCCAGAGTATCGTCCTTTCACAACTTCTACTGTCAGCATCTGTTATGTGCTAGGCACTACAGATATAAAGAGTAGACTCAGGTCACTACCTTGGGGAGAGAGAATATCTACAAACACATAAAATAATTACAATGGAAATGTATGTGCTATATGTACCAAAACAAATAGAAAAGAAAATACTCATAAACCATTTGTCAATCTTTTCTATCTCCATCAAACTAAAAATGTGTGCTGCAGCAGCAGGACAATATAAATGATTTCAGGTCACAATTTCATTGTCATTTAATCTTTCTCTGATTTACATACTTCATTTTCTTTTCCACTCATGATATGAAAAACCAGAAGAATTCCTTGATGACAGGAAAAAAACAAGAGAAACCATGAAGCAGGTTGAAATGTCTCCCTTTACAAAAATAAATATGCAGAACTAAAGCACTAACCAAAACAGCCTTAGGGCAAAGGAAATCGGGTAGAACCTTATAACAATCATTTTTGGAGACTAATGAAGTAATTAAAATAAATACGTTCTTTTATTCTACTTTGACATCCCTCACCCCTGCCCCTGGAACTGTTGTAATAAAATGACATTTTTACCCCATTATGTAATTCAAATGATAGGCAGAAGGGCAGACCCAGCTAGGAGAAAAATTCTACCAGACACTCATACTACAAACTAAGAGCTTACTGTGTGGTAGGCATCAGGGCTACAAAACTTGAAAGATGCAATATCTGTCCTCGAGGACTTCACAATCAATAGTGGATAAAGAGAAACAAATTTTTACTTACATGATAATAAGCAACATAGAAACTTATCCCCCAGTGATGGGCATTCAGTAGTGGTAGAAAACTGCATGCAACAATGCATCCTTCCCTAACACTATTTTCAGGCTGCTGTAATTCCCAACTAGGCACTTCAGAACACTACAACCACTGAAGTGGACGTGTTACACAGAGTGACTACTACCGTGACACAAGTGAACTACGTATATCCTGGCAATCCAAAATAAGGGCAAATATTTTTGTGTGTGTAAAGTACTAATAAACAAGCGTATGTTAGTATGAAGCATCTGTTTAGTTTGTTTTGTTTGGATTCTTAACATTTACTTATATCCCTTTTTCAATGTTTAAGTTTGCTATTTCCCCCTGGATGGATACTGGTGGGAACCAGCCTCCGATCTTAAGCCAAAAAGACCAAATACTCACCTTCTCAACTTTCCTTGCAGCTGGGGTGCAAGCAGTGACCTAAGCTCAGCCAATCCAAGACACCCACTGAGGACTTTGAATCAGAAGGTAATATCAGGAAGAAGGATGGTTGAGAGAACAACTTTCCAGCAACAACCAGTTTTCCAAAGAGCAGCAGCACCAGGGTCCAGTGTCCATGGTGCCATTGTGACATGCTGTAGAATCCAACATTACCAGGCAACATAAGTGATGTACTCCCAAGACCCCACCCCCAACTACTCCTGCAGTGCAAGTGACTTGGTTCCCGCCCATTTTCAGAGCCAGGTTTCTTCAGACTTTAAAGCAATGTTGAGAACTTCCCAATATGCTTTCAAGAAATTCCTTTTTTCCTTAAATCACAACAGTTCTTGCAAATAAGAAAAATAAGTGACAGACAGCAGTAATGAAATAGTATGGTGAATCAAGAAGCATCTCACCTACAAAGGGTTTGTGTAGTTTATTTTGAACAGACCATTCCGTGTGTCATAAGACTCAGTTTAGCTCTTATAATTCAGTTACTAATGTCACCATCTATTCATTACAAAATTTTTCTGTAATCTAAATAACATGGAGTCTGATTTTATCTGCAAGATGACCCACATCTTCTCCACCAATTAACATCACAGGGGGCCAGCCTGGTGGCGCACTGGAGAGTGCACCGCTTGGGAGCGCGGCGGTGCTCCTGCCGAGGGTTCGGATCCCATGTGGAGACCGGTTCCCGCTCACTGGCTGAGCGTGGTGCGGGTGCAACACCGAGAGCTGCGATCCCGTTGCCGGTCCCCGGTACGGGCGCGACACCGAGGGTTGCGATCCCGTTACCGGTCAGTAAAAAAAACAAAAAAAAAAAAAAAAGGAATTAACATCACAGGATTTAAGAAACAGTAAGTTCTCTACTTTGAACTACTTTCAAACTCTGGACACACTCTAAAGGATGTAATGCGATGAAGAGCCCAGCTTTCTCTAATTTGCCTGAAGGAAAATCAAAGATCTATGTATGACTTTAAATGTCAGGGCCTTCAGCAAAACATCATCTTCAAAGAAATGAATTCTTTTCAACCACACAGTTTACAAAAAGACAGTGGTGCTCTCTCTCCTCAACAAACTTTTTTGTTATCATTACCTCAGAAAGCAACAGACACAATTATTATTTGGTAATTTTAAAATGCAAATCAAATAAATTCTTCAATTATGAAACAAACAAGGACGTAGTGAGATGAATGGTCAAGCTACAAGATTTGAGTTGTGCACTTATCTACCCACACCCCAACCCCAGACTGACAGGTCTGGGGAGCAGTTGTGCACAAAATCACCCCTCCCAGCTCCAAACACAGCTCTTCTCCCCTGCGCATAGGAGGAGCTCAATAACGTTTGTTAATTAAATGCAATTCCTACGACTGCATGTGTATGTTACACATTTCTATAAAATCGTTTCGCATAGCACTTTACATTGGCACTGTGCTTCCAAGCCTCCAAAACACTTTGACATGAATTTTCGCATGCTAAATATTTGGCGAACAGTTACACCTACCTTCACAGCTATTAATGGCACAGCAAGCTGCGGAACCTCAGTAACTCGTGCTCCCAAAGCACAGCATCTGCGCCTCTAGTTCAGGCCTTCTCGTTCGCTGTAATTATCTCACTCGATCTGCTCCTTCCTGAGGGTTCTTAAGGATGCCCCATGCATGTCACAGACCCTGGACCACAGGAGGGCACTACGGACACCAGGGTGCTTCTGCCTCCTTCAAGCCCCGTCCTTTCCCGGCGGGGCCTCAGCCCTGAGCCTGATGTATGCACATCCCTGCTGCCACCCCCGCCACCTGTGATCGCCACAGCCGCACCAATGGAGCCTGTCGCACAGGACACTGACTTTTTGTCCCCCAGCAAAATCCCACAGCCCAACGCCTCTCCGTAAGTCTGACCCCCTGGCTCCCCCAATCCCTACCGCGGCCCGGCTGTGTGCGAAGGAGAGGAGGGGTCGCAGGTGCAGGGACTGGGCTGGGGACCCCTCCGTGACAGCCGCGACCCGCCCCCGGGAACCCGCGCATCAGGAGGAGCACCGAGCTCCTGGGAAGCCCCAGCCGGGAGGAGTCCCACGGCGGGCTGCCCACCGGACGCCCCCAGCCCCCGGGAGGCCGCCCCGCTCCGGACTGAGGCGGCCGAGGGCGTCCCGTACGTACCCGAGCAGGCAGCGGTCGCACACGACGCCACGACTCCCCTTGCACACCGTGTACGCCAAGGGATCCGAGCGGAACAGCAGCTCTCCGGCGCGCAGCGGGGCCACGGCACGCAACCCGTTCCCCTTGTCGGCGGTCGTGAACTTTTCCACCTTCAGCGGCTCCATCCTCGAGCCGCGCCCCGCACCTCAGACGTCCGCCGCGTACGACAGCAGGAGACTCGCGGGCCGCCGGGAGCCGCGCGCCTGCGCTCTGTGCGCATGCGCACGCCCGGGAGGCGGGGCGGCCGCAGCGGAGCCTCTTGCGCATGCCCAGACAGGAGCCTTGAGGGAACCGGCGGCCGCGGCTCACGCGACCCCCAGCGAGGCGTTGGCTGCGCAGGCGGCTCCTGCCTAGGGCGGCCCTGCCAGGGAACGGCGGTTTTTCTCCATCTACAGTATTTTATTATTGATAATTTTAATGCATACGGAAAAGTTGAAAAAACAGTGCAGCGAACACCTGTGTGCCTCCACCTAGATCTAACAGTCGTTAGCGTTTTGCCATTTCCGCTCGCTCTTTCTCCGTCTGTGTGTGCATAGATCTGTCATGTTGCACCACGTCAAAGAGTGTTGTTGAGCCATTTGAAAGTCAGTGGCAGCCGTCATAACATTTCACAGCTGACACTTTACAACATAACACTAAGTGATTAAATGCTTTAACATGCATTTCCTCAGAGTAAGAGGAATAAATAAATAAAACTACAATATCATTATCACACGTAAGGAAATTATCTATACTAGCTAGCAAAGACCAAATGCACTTAAAGAATGCCTTTTGTAACTGTTTTTTCTTTTTCTTTTTTCTTTTTTTTTTTTTTTACCAGGATCCAATAAAGGTCACACGTTTTCTTTTTCCTGACGTTGACTCAGTCTAAGCTAGAAGTCTTGTAAAATGGTCCACGGTCTGTATTCGTCTGGTTGTTTTTTCTTGGTGTCATTTAACTTGTTCATCTATTCTCTGAGTTTCCTGTGAACTGCAGGCTAGGTCTAGATGCTACAATCTAGAGGCTGGATTTGATGCAAATGAAACATTTTGGGGCCAAAACATAGAATAAACGATAGTGTTCACTTCATATTGCATCACATTAGGTCGAATGGTGCATAACATCAGGTCGTTCCACTATTAATAAAATTAAGCTTGATCAATTGGTTAACTTGCTGGTTGCTAAATCTCTTCATTGTAAAGGTGCATTTTACTTTAGCAATTAGTAAGTAGTACTGTAACATTAATGCTAATAAAGTAATACTAGTAAGTAGTACTCTGGGTGATACTCTGGCACTGTGAGAATAACCTGATTCCCACAACCTGCAGAGGCAGACTTCAGACTTGCTGAAGTAGTCCAGAAATGGCTGTGATATAGTAAAAAGAGCAGTGGACCAGTATTCCAAAGACATGGATTTGAGTCCCAGTTCTGCCATGTGACCTTAAGTAACTTCTCCAAGTCTATTTATTATCTGTACAGTGAAGACAATGATACCTTACAGAGTGGTGAGGATACATGCTATGAAAGTATTTTGAAAAATCTTTTGTGTCATGAGAATGTAAGAAATCATTATTCTGAGTTAAGACTTCTGTATACTACATTCTACCTGTCCTACCAGTATAATTATCTAATACCAGTGCATAGCATTAAGCATGATACATAAAAGGAACTCAGAAAATTGTTTACTGAACTAAAGATATCATAAGGAGTTCCAGACGACCAGGGACTAATTCTACCATAATCCATTCCCAACTCCTGAACACTGTGGGAAAAGTTCTCAGGGAAAATATCTTGCTGGACTCTGTACTAGGAGATGGGATGATCCAGCTTTGCTGGTTCCGAGACGTGATTCCAGCTACCCAGACATGACCCATTTCCCCTCTTTGTCTTATACACCCTCCCCTGGACTCTGAAAGCCAAATGTCTCAAATCTTAGAGAAACGTCCTATTCTTTCCAACTTTCTCCCAGCCTGTTTTCTTTTTCATTTCCCATTAGCTGGAGTTTGGATGTGGGGCTGATGGTGACTCATCTTCCACCATAGAGAAAAAAGCACTATCTCAGAAAATGGTTGAGTAGAAAAAAAGTGCCCTGCACCCCTGGATTGTTCACCTGGTTGGACTATTACATGAAGGAGACAGCTTGTTTAAATTACACTTATTTTGGTCTGTGTTAAAGAAGCTGAACCAATATCGTCATTTCCCAGCATCTTTTGTAACTAGAGTGCAGGTACAAGACCTGGGCTGTGCTAATCAAACCCACCCACTGCAGAGTTGTGGGATCTCTGACCTCTGGCAGTTCTGGTGCAAGCAGTGTCAGCAGCGTTCCCTCACTAGACTGGTTCGTGACCCCACACCTGCTTCTCCAACCCTCTGGGCAATCCTGTTTGCAATACCACAACTGTTTAATTACCTTCATCTCTGCTTAAATCAGCTAGAGATGTCTTTTTAGCTTGCAAGAACCTAGCTGGTAGCATCATGCCACTCTTTGCTCTCTCACAATGCCTAACTATGCTAACCTTTCAGTTCCTGCAGAGTGCCACACACTTTCCCACCTCAGGGCCTCCCCAGGCATAAAACACATGTGCCTGTGAGTGTGCACACCCACACAGATCCTATCTCATGGCTGGCTCCTCCTCCTATCTCAGTTCTTAGTTTAAATAATCCTATTCAAAGAGACCTTCCCAAGCCACTCCATCTGCACTAGATTCCAACTGCCGTTCTCTAGCAAAACATCCTTTTCTTATCTTTTATAACACTTACAACTATTTGCTGCTATTGGCTGTTGTTGTTTCACTTGTTTAGTGTCTCACCCAGTCATCATAGACATAGCTCATGACTGTGCTTCATCACTGTACCCAGAACTTAGCAAAGTGCTTGGCTTACAGCAGGTACTCAATGGATATTTGAATGAATACAGTTCTCCAAGGTCTTTTGTTTAATGTTGTGAGACCTAAGAAGACCAAACAATTCTACAGAGCACACGTATTTAGTCTATATTATTGTTTTGTATTATTTAAATTTTTATTAACATTGACTCAAAAAGGATATAATAGTGTTTCTAAAGTCACCTAGCTATCGCACTCTATTTTCCCTATTTATTTAAGTAGATGAAAGTTCTAATTGTGGGTACGTCATTATACATTTGTCAAAATCCACAGAATATACAATGCAACGAATGAACTCTAATGTAAACTACAGACTTGATAATGATGTCATCATTGTAGGCTCATCAATTGTAATGAATGTACCATTCTGGTGAAGGGTGTTGATAATGGGAGAAGCTTTGCAGGTGTCAGGGCAAAGGGTATATGGGAAATCCCTTTACCTTCTGCTTAATTTCGCTGTGAATATAAAACTTACCTGAAAAATAAAGTCTATTAACAAAATAAAAATAAATATATGAAAGTTCTTTGTTGTTTTGTATATGAAATTAACAGCTATCACACTCATAATTATTGCAGCAGTTTTTCACTGCAATAATGAATATATATATTTATACTTCAATTAATCAATAGGGTTTTAATATATAAAACATATAAAGATATTTCTCATGCCAAGTTAACTCTAGAATGCTGGAACTCTATAACTGGTTGTTTATAACTCTATACTGGAAAATGAATATGCAGATATTAACAATAAATCCAAAAAAGTTCTTTGTATTAAGAGTTACATTGATTTAATATGATTATACCCATGAGTTCACATAATCAATCTCATACAAGTTCTGGAAGTTCCAAAACCAAGGCTAAAGCCGACTAGTAGATTTTGATCAAATACCAAGGCCAAAGCTGAATTTTGCTGCATTCCTAAGTAATGTAAGTTCAGAATACAAAATTTAAAGAATGAAAACTAGATTCCTTTCATCACTATCGGCCAATGATCTGGTTCCCCTAAGCACTATTACCAGTTTCTTTGATACCTTTAGAGATTGCTTTATGTATATGCAAGCAAATGTGTATACATAATCATTGATTTTTAATGGAAAATGATACATTACTATACACATTGTGATGTCCCTGGCTTTTTTGTTGTTGTTTGTTACTTCATATATTTTAGAGAATCTTTCATATCAGAATAAATGGAACTGCCGCCCTCCATGTTTTTATTGAAGTGCAAAAATTCATTCAGAAAAGAGCTCATAAGAGTATACAGCTCTATGGATTATCCCAAATTAAACATCTGCATGTAACCATCATGGGCAAGAGAACATTATTCCCTTCATGCCCCCTGCTAATCACGACTCACTCCCTCACCCCCAAAGGTAGTAGGCATCCTGGTTTCAAACTCCTTAGAGTGACTTTCCTGTTTTTGAATTTTAAATATGTAGAATCATATAATACATGCATGTTGATGGACATTTGAGTCATTTCTAGTTTGAGGCTATTGGGAATAATTTCACTTGGTCAGTTTTGTATATCCTGTTGGGTATATATAGGAATGGAATTGGTGGGTCAAAGGACAGATATAGGTTCAACTTCAATAAATAATGCATTTTCCTGAAGTGTTTGTACCAGTTTGCATTCCCATGAGCAGTGCATGAGAGTACCAGCGACTCCACATGCCCACCCCCACCTGGTATTGATTGACATGTCCCTTTCAGCCATCCTCATGGGTGTGTAGTGGGATGTCATCAAGATTTTCATTTGCATTTTGCTGATAGCTTATGAGGTGGCACTCCTCTCACAGTTTATTGGCGACTTGGATATACTTTTTTGCGAAGTGCCCATTTTTCTATTGGTTTTACCAAATTCACTTTAAAGATTTTTTTTTTTTCTTTTTGTCTTTTTTCGTGTCCGGCAACGGATCGCAACCCTCAGTGTCGCGCCCGTACCGGACCGGACCGGCAACGGGATCGCAACCCTCGGTGTTGCTCCCACACCTTGCTCAGCCAGTGAGCGGCCGGTCTGTATGTGGGATCCGAACCCTCGGCGGGAGCGCCACCACGCTTCCAAGCGGCGCACTGTAGCAGTGCGCCACCAGGCCGGCCCCACTTTAAAGATTTTTTACTATAAAAATTTTCAAATGTATAACATTAGAAAGATTCGTATAATAAACCTCCACATGTTCATCATTTTGCTTCAACAATGATCAACACAAAGCAAATCTATTTTACCTATATCCCTATTTACTTTTCCCCCTCTCTCCCCAGGATTACTTTGAGGCAAATCCCAGACATATATAAATACCTCAGTGTTCACCTTTAAAGATAAGCTCCATTT